TGAGGAACAAAAATACTGGATTGTTGAAACAATAATGATTTCTTTTTGCAGCGAAATCAAAATGAAATTCTTATTGTTAATACCAGGCATAACATTTGATAACGGCACAAAAGCATTTGTAAACAAACTTTGTAAGGCCCTTTACACGCGAACCAAAGTACACTCACGCAAACCAACAACATCCTCGGATAGGGGCAACTATCACCTTTCCGATAGTGGTATTGGTTTGCGTGGGCGTACTTTGGTTCGCGTGTAAAGGGCCTTAGAAAGTTTGTTTACAAATGCTTTTGTGCCGTTATCAAATGTTTTGCCTGACTTGACTTAACAGCACTTTTTAATTAAAACAACGGGCTAATGTTATTTTAGCTTTACTTCAAGGGTTCAAGGAACTGTGGTAGATATAGTTGGTAAGAATCAAATTAAGTTACATATATTGAACTATATGTTGTTATGATTATAATAGAATTGCTCATGTTGTATTACTATTTTTATTATTAATGTTATTATTATTATAATTATTGATTCTTACCAACTATATCTACCACAGGAACATATTCTAGTCTTCATTTTATGTATATTCAATATATTTGCATCAATAAACGTTTTCCAATTTTACAAACCCCCTTTCACATTTTCCTAATAGTTTTTCAAACTGACAGTATTCTGAAAATCTAGTCGAATGTAAGAGTCTTGAACTATGTTTCATGGTCAACAATCACTGGCGATGCGAATGGGGAAGGAGAGGGTTAAGGATTTCAAAACTTCCACCCCCCTTGCAGAGTCTTGTGCTAATTATTAAATTATCTGTCATGCTAAATGTGAGTCAACTTTTGCAATCTCAACTGTTGATCTCCCTTATTCGTTCTATCCCAAACTCGATATTCGCAACAATTCGACGGTAATTCAGGTTATTTGAAATCCTTTTCAATACAAATTTCTTAAATATACCTCAAACTAGAAATAGCTTGTTCAAGATTCCCCGCAGAGAATTGTCTTTTCTTTGAAATCTCCGGTTTATTCTTTCACCCCTCGAAACATAGGAAAAACCAATAACCCCTCATTTTATCTATCAAACTTTCATAGCTAATCAAAACAAACATTGCGTAGTACTAGAAATTCTACTAGAATGGGATACGTTAATCGTTTGCTTGGGACCAATAGGCTAGTCAAGTAGTGAGCCAATTTAAAATCGTTAGTTTCGTATTGATTGTTGCTAATACCATAGAGGTAACTCTAAGACCACTGGGTCCCGAAGAAAATCATTATTATTTTTGGCTCACTCAGTACCAGAACAACGGTCCCAAGCAGTCCCAAGCTATTTCACTCACCCCTGCATGTTCTGCATGAATCCACACACCCCTGATGTTATCTGTCAAACTTTCATAGTGAATCAAAACAAACATAGTGTAGTACTAGAATTTCGACTGATTCTATTTGAATCAATCCTAAACTAGTTCAGGTTGAGCGTTAAATGCTTCCTGGTGATTCGGCCGGTTGGTGGTTCTGTTGGTGTGCTGGATAGCGTATCTATGTCTGAAGCTATACAACAGGCAATGTTAGTTAATGTTTCGCTTCAAAATCCGTGAAACATCTGGAAGTCAATACAGAAGTGCATAAACTTCCTAATTCCGTGGCAGTTTCTGTACTCCTGCGTTGGCTTTCAAAGATTCATATTAAATCCACCCAGTCGTCGTCGTGATGTCGGCATCTTCTGTTGCTCCGGTTGTGGATTATAGCAGTATGGGGTATGGGTGAGTTGGAGGCTCCGGCGAAATTATTTGTTGCGGATACCGAAAATTGTTTGTGTCAACAATCAAATTTTGACACATCCTCACTGCACATGCGCAGAAATAATGCAGTGATGCCAGTTGCTTTAGAGATCAGAAAAAATATGTACCATGGGCACCCGTGGGTGCCAAATGAGTGAGCCATGGTGTGCCCTACTGTGTTTTTGGCACACTGTGCTGAGTGACCTACCCCTTGTGCTTCCTAGAAAAAACAACCAACTCAGTTTTCTCCGAAGAGAATTCGGTACGCAGCTTCATAGCCCAAGTAGACAATTTGTCTAACCCGAAAAAAAAATATAATAAAACAACGAAATTACAATGATTTTTACTGTTGAATTTTGCGTACATAAAATTTATTGTTAAATTATTGTACGGGAGAAAAAATAGATTTCGATTTTTAACGATACAATGCTAAAACAACGAAAATTAGTGTGATGAGATCAAAATTGTTCGGGAAAAATCACTTTTTTGACGTAGGACTACGTCTTTCGGGAAGGGTGCCAATCCAGGGAAATGCAACGAAAATTTGGCTGTCTTTAAATGCTAATAACATAGCCAATAATCAATGGATTTTGATGATTTTTATGTCGATCGATTCAGAAGCTTCATAAGATTTGTGTGATATGTTCCACATTATAAATGTTAAATATTTAAAAACTAAAAAATTAAGAAATATGGAAACAATCTAATTTCTCATACATTTTCTTCGACCGTAAGGTGCTCACCCCTAACACAGCCATCAGAAAGTTGGTCCTTAACAACACAAGCCGAAGCCGCATAATCATTCAGCGTTGCAGGTTGGACAGGTCGACCTCGAACTTGTTCGCTGCAGCGTGGACATCGTAGCATTTTTTTTTCTATGCATTGACCTACATCAGCTAAATACAGAAAAAAGGAGGGGCATAGAATGATAATCCAAATGCTTAAGTAAGCGAAACGTAGAAAGTTTGATGTTGGTTTGACTGCAGTCATCGTTTGGCTGCCGAGTGATAAACAGGGGTGTTCGTTGCGTTGCCCACTGAAAACGAAACTAACTCAGAGAGTGAATAACTGTTACTCATTTGTGAGTCACTTTTACTCATTCGTATGAAAATTTTTCTCAAAGCGTAGGTTATTCAACGCGTGAGTAACCTACGATTTAAAAAAATCTCCATACGAATCAGTAAAAGAGACTCTCTCGGAGTAATATTCGTTTTCAATGTATTTAGCTTGCCATCTCGGCTAGGAATTAGACTCTTAGTTAGAATTCACTCACCATGCAGCGCTTGTAACATTGGATTCAAAAGTCTTGCTTAAGCTACATTCACTAAAAACGAATCTTATTCAGAGAGTGAGTCACTGTTACGTAGGTTACTCATGCGCTGAGTGACCAACGCTTTTAAGGGCCACCCACATTAGATCCGTTTGCGTTGCGTTGACGTAAATTTGACAGTTAGACAATAGATTTAGCTGTCACTTTGCCGCAACGCGTCCGATCCGGATCTAATGTGCGTGGGCCTTTAGAAACGTATGCTTGCGGATGAGCAAAAGCTACTAATGGGGGTAAGCTCCAACTCGGATTAACTTTTAATACCGTCCCTGTTTGTATGATCTGAAAAATGTTTGCTAGGAGTTATGTTGATTAACTCTGATGTCGACATCAAACCAGCCGGACATTCTTGATCGGGATTTAATCCGAGGATAATACCGGTTGGAGCTTACCACCATAAATCTCTGAGTTAGTTTCGTTTACTATGTTTCGACTAGATAGGATATTGCTATATCTAGTAATGTTATTCAGATGGATAAGACCTATTGTATACTGGACACAGGGTGACCAGTAAACCGGGAAATCGGGAAAAAGCAGAAAATTCTAAACCACCGGGAGAAGTCCGTGAATTCCGATGATGAAACGGGAAAAAATATGCCTCGTCCTCTCTTTGGAAAATAATAATCATCTCAACTACTAGATTTTCCGGATACAATCACTTTGAAGAACTTATTCGATAATTTTGATGAAAATTCCAACGGAATTTAGATGAAATTTTATAATGAAGTCTAGAGATAATAAGGTATGTAAGAAACAAATTCCAATGGAGTTTTTGGAAATACTACAACGCCAAGTCCATTGTTTAAGATCAAAGTAGAATTATTAGGTGGTTCTATGTGAAATTACATGACGATTGTAAAAAGGATTACAGGTTAATTTCTAATTAATATTCTAAATAAATTCTGAGAAGAATGTAAAGAGAGTTCTTATGAGGAAATTCCGAGAGTATTGAATTCTGAGGGGATTAGAAAGATAATTTTAAGTGAATTGTAATGAATGTTCCAAGCAAGGTTGCAAAGACTCATTTCAGCTAAAACAATGTTTTTCTAAATTATGAAATAATTAGATGCCATGATCAAATTTTGAATTGGTAGGATACAAGAAGAGGTTTCAATGAATGTGTTTGACATACTAAACCTGTTTATTTCACTTCATGAGAGTCACAATCAGCGATTTTTCACAAACTCACTCACTCACTCACTCACTCACTCAGCGATCAGCAAATCGCTGATTGTGACTCATAGAAAGCAAAATTTACAGGTTTTATGTTTCCAACGCATACTTTGTAACCTCTTCTTGTAAGTTACAAGTAAAACATGCCATCATACCATCTTTTGGTTTTATTATTCCGAAAAACATTATTTTAGCTGAAATGAGTCTTTGCAACCTTGGTTCCAAGAGTTTCGGATTAACTTTCTTAACCATTTATTATTCATTTATATATTATTGAATGAAACAGCAAAATAGTCTCGTACTTCTACGTCAACAATGCGGTCGTGCTTTGGACACAACCTTCAACTTTTTTATTGTTAAGATGCTTAACAACCCCCCTTTTTTACTGTAAATTTCTCAAGTATTATGATTTTCATTGTTGTCAACCATGAATTTCGTTGTGATTTTATGGTAATGGACAAAAATGTCCAATGTTTTGACAGCATATATCATGGTTACAATGACAATGAAAATCATTGTATTTTTATTGGATTTTTTTTTACGGGAAGGTATCTTGGGACTTTTTCTTAGCGTGTGTAAAAGTCCTAAATTTGAGATATTTTGTTTCTCAGTGTAAGAGCAAATTTGAGCACCTCTATCTCTCTCTCTTTTCGTGAGTTCTCGTGAGCGCTTTATGACAGATCGATTCGCAAAAATTAAACGTGTTTGTGTTTTTGTTTTCCTAACAGCCGAATCGCACTTTTTTACATTTTCACATTTTTCGGCATTTTCCTCCACGAAAAATCCAGCAGAATTCCATGATTTCACACTAGCCAAAGCAAAATGAAAGTCAAAGTGATCAGCCGCAATCCGGACAACTATGTGCGTGAAACGAAAAAGGACATTCATAAGGTGTTCCGGAACTACGATTCCTCGCTGCATCCGTTCGAGGGAGCTCGCGAATATGTCCGGGCGCTGAATGCAACCAAACTGGAACGGGTTTTCGCCAAGCCTTTCGTGGGCAATCTGGACGGTCACAAAGATGGTATCTCGGCCCTGGCAAAACACCCGAAGAGCTTATCGCTGCTGTTGAGTGGTTCCTACGATGGGGAAGTGAAGCTGTGGGACGTTCCGAACCAGGAATGCGCGCAGAGTGTTCTGTGCCACAGCGGGTACGTAAGAGGAATCGTGTTCTCCAATGACGGGTCAAGGTAAGTTAGGGTTTCGGGGTTGTTTTTTTACAAATGTTTTAAAGATTGGGATTCTTGTAGGTTTTTTACAATCGGAGATGATAAGGCTATCAACGTGTGGGATTCCGGGATGGTTGATAGTGATGAAACTTCGCACGAACCAGTTAATTCGATCCTGGGAAGAACAGTTATTACATCGATTTCCCACAACTACGAGGAACCGTTCTTTGCCACGTGCGGAGAGACGTGTAACATTTGGGACGAAACTCGTAATTCGCCCCTGAGAACTCTTCAGTGGGGCGTTGACACGTTGTACGACGTGAAGTACAATCCGGTTGAGACTTCCCTCTTGGCGGCCTGCTGCAGCGATCGTGGTATCATTTTCTACGACCAGCGAGAAGTGAAACCTTTGCGAAAGATCGTCATGACTTTGAGACCCAACCAGCTGGCATGGAATCCGATGCAGGCCTTCTATTTCACCGTAGCCAGCGAGGACTACAATCTGTACACATTCGACACGCGTAGGTTGAAAAATCCGCTAAAGATCCACGACGGACACACGTCGGCCGTAACTTGCGTCGATTATGCTCCCACTGGGCGAGAGTTTGTGTCTGGAAGCTACGACAAAACCATCCGAATCTTCGATGCCCACAAGGCCAACAGCCGCGAAGTGTACCACACCAAGCGGATGCAGCACGTCACCTGCGTGGGATGGTCCATGGACAACAAGTACATCTACTCGGGATCGGATGAAATGAACGTTCGACTGTGGAAGGCTCGCGCCTCGGAGAAACTGGGTGCCCTGCAGCCGCGAGAGAAGCAAGCATTTAAGTACAACGAAGCCCTGAAGGAGAAGTTTGCTGCCCATCCACAGATCCGGCGCATCGCCCGGCACCGACACGTGCCGAAGGTGGTGTACAAGGAGCGCCAGAAGCAACAGGAACAGAAACAGAAAATCAAACGTAAGGAGGAGAATGTGCGGAATAATTCCAAGCCCGGCAGTTTGCCGTACGTGCCGGAGACCAAAAAGAAGGTGCTCCGCGAGGAGCATTAAGGTTTCGGTTGAGTGGAGGAGTTTGCTTTCTTGGAGATAATTTGAATTAAATAATGATTAATAAAGTAATTTTTCAGTATGAAGTAATGAGATTTTTTCACAAAGAAAATCACATGACACTTCGAATAAGTTTCACTAGGAATTAGAATAATACATAATACTTTATGAGACGTCTTTTTAATATCGGTTTTCAAAATTAGTCCGGGTTTTCGATAAGACCATACAAATCTTCTTTCAACTGTTTTGATGAATTGACCGACTTCCCTAATCAAATTTGCATGGTTATTCGTCGTTCGGGGGATCATTCAAACCATTTTTGGAATAGTTTTACCATTTGGGTTATCGTTCATTTACGGTATTTATTGATTAGGATTATACTACCCATAATCGCATAACAGTCCCATATGTATAGGAAAATAAGCAAAGATGGAACTGTTATGCGATCATGGCAGTATATTCCTAATGGACCACTTTGTCAAACAGTTTTGGCGGGATTCTTCCAGCGGTTTCTACTACTGCTACTTCTCTCGTTGTTCTAGCAGACAAAATCTCAAAATAATATTTAATTTCGAAGTTCGAGTCGTAGTAACCATAGTTTTAACTCTCATTTTAACTACTCGAATGAAGTGGTTAATTAACCACTTTATTCGAGCAGTTAAAATGACGTTTACTACCACTTGAGCTTTGAAATAAAACATTATTTTGAGATTTTTTCTTCTAGAACCTCGAGAAAAGTAGCCAACATTTGTGCGTTTCATAAAAAATAGAAATTAGTTGGTCCAGTTTTGTGAAATCGTTGGTAAAAAGTCACACCAAAACTGCTTGACAAAGTGGTCAATTGCTCATGGTGATTCCTTGAAAATTCAAAAAAATGGTCGTTATCATAGCTGACATATTCTAGCACTTAAAGTTTTACAGACCACAAATCTCGTACACTGTTGCTTCTTCACTCATGAACTCCCTGGTTGCTGCTCTGCAGCAAGTGCGGAGTTCCAGTTTCATTGTTACTATGTTCTTTGGGAGCTGACATTATTTTGTGCTCTTGTAATTTCGAGGTGATAGAACAGATAGAACGCTCAATCAGAATAATAAGGTTTCCACAGCGATTTACCTTAAGTTCGAAAGCGCTAACTATTTTAAACTTGTGTTTTGCTTGAATGATGTGATTAATGGCAGATGACACTATTCGATCAGTTGAAAATAATGAAGGGTTTTATTTATGCTATGATTAAATATTCTGAAATTTGTTGCCTCATTATGTAAAAATTTCTGGTAGAAGGACGTCTCAAAACTGCTTGGCTAAGTGATCAAAGGCCGGTTAATTTGAATGCGCTTAAATCTTTTAGCCTGGTTTAACCATATTCTTAAGCGGTGGTGATGAAATTGGCCCTAATTCAATAGAAGAAAACGTCAAATATTTCGCTAATGTTAAAGGAAATCCTTCAAATGTTGCTTCAGCTCAGAATTAGAATGCTATAGTAGATGTTACTATAAATAGGTGAATTGTGTACGTCACGTCAAGGTAGTTATGTGGCAAATACTATGTATTTACAAATCTGATCGCAAATAAATTCAAAACAAAATTTGACAAAATATTTCTACCCAAAAGGATTGCCGGATTGACGGGAATGTACTGTTAAGCATTTCGAATTTCAGTTGAGCTACTAAACGAGCCCTTCTCGACAAGAAACACTCACCCGGTACGTCAATGGTCACTCACCCACGTGAGTGCCTTTCGGGAGCGCCATTTTTGAAGCCACTCTGCGAGGTTGCGAAGATTACGAGACAGTCCACCGAAACACAACGGAAAAAGCCGTGATAAGTTGCAGCAAAATTTTGCAATCGAAAAAAAACTGTGAAAATTGCCTTTATTGTTGGTGAAAAGCGAAACTTTATGCGTGGTATTCGGGGTAAATCGAACGAAACTTCAATGTCCATCAGAGTGTAGTGTTGAGTGTAGCAGCAGAATTTTGTCCGTTGGCTTTTGCGTTGTGATTGTTTTAGTCGAGGTGGAAAGCGAAAAAAAAACATGGACGGACTCCGGTGGTCCCGGGTCTTACTACAATGGGTACGTAACCATCAACATGAAATTTAATAATAGAGAACATCACCCACTAAATTCATCACCAGGTCAAAGATTCCCGCCTCATCAACTGCGAGTGCGAAAGCATCGAACAGTGCAGCGTCGAAGAGTTCTACCGGCAGTTCCGCTCGCGAATGCAGTCGGTGGTGTCGCTTCCGGAAGATGGCATTATCAGCTTTCTCAAGGAGCACTTTCCGCACTACGAACTGTACCTGACAGAAACGGGGCAGATCGCTGCTCCGGACCATTTCTACATCTTTTCCCTGCTGCTGTTCTTCTCCTGCGTCCGTCACTCGGAACGGTTCTTCCAGCAGATTTGCAACGGCTTCGACAAGCCACAGCAGTATGCCGTGACGGCGTTTCTCAAGTCCATGTGGGAGGCCGCGCATCAGCGGAAGGAAGTCGACCGGATGATGATTCGGCAAGCAATTCAGGACGCGATGCCGCAGACTATGTTACCTCCGGAAACGACTCCTCCGCAGCGTGCTGAGCAACTGAGCATGCCCTCTCGGTTAACCTCCAGCAGTGACGTCCTGGACAGTCCGTTGCGGTTGAATAGGCAACCGCCAAAAATTTCACCGCCTACGCCCAGGACGATCATCTTGGACGAGAAAACCAAGCAGCTGAAGGAGCTCAAGGCGCAGCTGGAGGCGGAGAACTACGACAAAGGATACCTGGAGGTGCAGCTGAAGCAGCTGCAGGACAAGAATGATAAATTATGTAAGTATATCTTGTATCCAGTCAAGGGTCGATTGTAAACGATTCGCGTCCGCCTTCTTACAGTGGAGGAAAAGCGCCAACATGTGAAGGAGATCCGGGAGCTACGCACGGAGCTGCAGGCGAGCAATCGTGAAAATGAGTCGCCTAACAAACAGCGGAGCACCGATCATAAGGTGGCCCGCATAGAACGGCAGCTGGCCGAGAAGGAGGAAGCGCTCGATAGGTTTAAAATCGAGCTGGAAACCGTCGGCGAAAATTACAAGAATGCAACGGAGATGGTGAGTAGAGTTTGTTATTACATTTCAAGTAGCGCGCTAAACTACGTCGTCAACATCGAAAAGTCTATTCATTGGAAAACGTTGCGATTTAATCATATAGCCCCCTGCTCTCCTATGCTCTTTAGCTTGGTATTGAGGTCCCCACCAACTGTGCCAAATTTGAACGATTTCGGTTACGATCTGGATTTGCGGGAGAATTTTAAAGAGTGTGGAAATGGAAAATGTACGAGGAACTGATAGAAAATTTTATTTTTGCTTGTTAAAAATTCACGCATTGCTCGATATGCTCAAAATTGACCACACTTGGGACATGGACTGAGTCGAAGAACGCTAATCGAATCGACTTCTGTCAAATACATATACTGTATTTTTAAATGTAGTTCACTCATTTGTTTTTTTCCGGAGACACGATTGCCGGCGTCCTAAAAGGCAACTAATTTTTGCCAAAGGTGAAGGGCGACATCAGGAAATGGACCGATCAGCCCCACTGGAAAGACCGACGAATCCTATCGAGGCTAAGAACGGGTCACAATCGAGGCACCCATGACTACTCCATAGTACCAGACAGACACACACGGTGCGATACATGCCAGATACAACAATCAGTAGAACACATACTTGTGAATTGTCCGAAGTATGAGGCCTATCGATGTATCGATGGTATCCACGATGGAGTGCGAGAAGATCTTAGTAAAGATCCATCATACGAATCTGCCTTGATGTGCTTCCTGGAAGACACCGGACTCTACACACAAATTTGAAAAACTAATTTTCTTGTTCCCATAGGTATCTACAGACCTAAGCAATGTGCACAACTTTTGTCCTTGATTGTAATTAATGTATTACATTATATTTTTCGAATGTAATAATTGCAACTCAGTCACCCCTCGACTGTAATCAAATGCGTGTTGGTTACCTTTTCTGACGTTACGTGGTGTGTCGAACTGCTGATAGATGCATACCTGTCAGAATTCTAGTTATATTAGGAGCATTTAGCCTTAGGGCAAAGCTTCACTTTTCAATAGATCCTATCTACATTGATCGATCCTTTTCATCGATGTCGGCAAACTATACGAGAAGCAAAAGTCCAAAGTTGGGGAACTTTCTCAACGAAATCAGCCCAAACCAATCGGCAGCTGATCTGTGGGAAAAGGTTAATGCTTTAAGTGGGTGGAGAAAAAAAAACCGGGGAATCGCACTTAAATATGAAGGAGGAATTACCCGCGATTCAGATACTATTGCCGATGTGCTTGGATAATACTTTTCGCCTCTCTATCAGCCATAGAAGGCTACGAAGAACGCTTCCGTAGGAAAAAAAAAAAGTTGCTTCGACACCCCCCATAGCCAGCATGCCAATTCCAGAGGAAACAATTGTGCCGGAAATAAACGAACCCTTCCGGATGAACTAGCTCGCTCTAGCCTTATCAAAGGCTAAAGGCAATTCTGCGGGTCCGGACAAGGTGGGCTATCCTTTGCTCCGGAATCTACCACCAGAAGGAAGACGCAGGCTTCTAGATCTAATCAACCAGGAGTGGCTGCACAACTCCCTGTCTCAGGATTGGAAGCACAGTCTCGTGGTCCCGATCCTCAAGCAAAGAAAGCCAGGCAGACAAGCTAGTGATTTCAGGCCGATGTCCCTTACATGTTGTGCCTCCAAAATCGTGGAAAGGATGGTAAATAGGCGACTGATGAACTTTCTAGAATCCAGGGACCTACTTGACCACCACTCAACACGCCACGTTTAATTATTAAATATTTGTCACCTGACGAGTCATTCCGAATTAGACGTCATAAAATTACGAAGAGCTTCCCAAATAAATCTGAGCACTTGAAAGAGAATAGTAAACTTGACGGAAATTGTATTTAAAAAAAAAGTTTCAGGGAGTATCATTGAAGTTCAGGTAATTTCATAGAAGTGAGAGGTATTTCATAAATGATCGGGGATCAGCATAGAAGTTCTGGGTCTTTCATAGTATAGAACTTCATGGAATTTCTGGATTTTCACAGAATGTCATGCAAGAGCTTGCGTCTTTTATATACATATACTCAGATATGATACCAGGCTGCTCAGAAATAATTCCAACGAACTTAAGGTATTCTAAGATATTATTCTAAAGATCTTTAACCATCCAACAATTCAAATCACGTTTATTAGATGTTCTCTCATAATACCAGGTTGCTCAGAAATTATTCCGAAGACCTTCAGGTGATCAGAGACCCCCATGATAACCTCAGGTTACTTTTTCAAGGCTGGTCAGTTACTAATTTTTCAAACTGTCCAATAATTCAAACAACATCTCCCAGATATTCTCTCATGATGCCAGGTGAATCACAATATATTATTCTGAAGATCTTCAACTGTCCAACAATTTAAATCACGTCTCTCAGGTATTCAGCCATGATACCGGTTACTCAGACATTGTTTCAAAGCAAATCATTCGATAATCAAATCACATCCCTAAGATATTGTCTTATACCAAGCGACTTAGAAATTATTTCATAACCCTTCAGGTAATCAGAGATCTTCAACAGGCACTCAGGGTTTTTTTTTTTCAAGCCATCCAGGTACTATTCTGAAGACAATCGGTTGACTATTCTGAAGATCCCAAACTGGCCAACAATTGAAATAATGTTTTTCGGATATTCTCTCAGGAAACCAGATGGCTTCTATTTTTGTCCAAAGATCTGCTGGTATTTTTTTTTTCAATACTTCTGGATGATTAATTATTCTGAAGATCTTCTACTGTTCGGAGTTCTTGTAGAAAAAAACTAAGTTTCTGTAGCAGCTCGTGTAGTCACAGCTCAAACTGTAATATTTAATCTTGTTATAAGTATTGTTGTTCCAGCACCTTAATATTTACTTACAGATTTTAGTTTTTCAATATATTTTTCACAACGTGAAAGCGTGTGCCGAACTCCAGTACAAAGACTTTTTTATCGACCTACATTACCAAAACAATTAGCAATCAATTTCATTTTAATTATAATTTAGAGGCCTTACCGAATAAACAGGAACGGGTTCAGATAGCGATCAAATTTAAATTATACAGGATTTCACAAATTTATTATCAAAATCATTAACATTTGCGATCAAAGAATAATCTGACTTCTGTCCTTTCACACTTTTGTTTTTGTTCTTGACGTTTACTTCTTCTTCTTCTTCTCTATCTTCACTCATCCGGCTGTCAACGAACCAACGTTCTTCACTGCTGATAGAGTACGTCGGTTTCACCTCGGGCAGGGGTATCGGATCTTGTGCCCAATGGTTTCAACAATTCCCCGACCCGTAAACCTTGTCCGGAACCAGGTTCCCGGCGAGATTTACTGGACACCTTCACCTCGATCAAAGCCAGTTTGCTCACCGGTCTTCTGTACACTCCAGTCGATGTGCGCACCTTAGCCTGCCTTATGCGCCCATCTCTGCCTTGGATGACTTCCTCGACTTTACCACGAATCCAACCGTTGCGTCCGTGGTCGTCTACCACGAAAACCAAGTCCCTAGGTGCTAATGGCCTGGACTCTTCCAACCACTTTGAACGAGCATTCAACGATGGTAAATACTCGCTGAGCCAACGCTTCCATAGTTTATCGGCGATGATCTGCGAACGTTGATATGTGTTGCGCAATGCTTCCGCTTCATTTGTCGGTGCGATGGATGGATCCTTAAGTCCTGACGAAGTACCACGTAGAAAATGATTAGGTGTTATAGCTTCTCCTGTATCCGAGTCTTGCGGCACGTAGACAAGTGGCCTGGCATTGACTATCTCCTCCGCTTCCGAGATCACCGTGAGCAATATCTCATCGTTCAGTCACTGTCCGTTGCTGAGCGTCGACATCATCTCCTTTACTGAGCGAACCATGCGCTCCCATACGCCTCCCATGTGTGGCGCAGAGGGGGGGTTGAAGCTCCACCGAGTTTTTGCGTTGGTGAAGACGTTTGCGCACGCAACATCCTTGCGCTGAATCTGTTCTTGCAGCTCCTTGTTTGCTGCCTTCAGATTAGTACCGTTATCGGAGAAGATAACAATCGGTGGTCCCCTCCGCACCACGAACCGACGAATGGCCATGATGCATGATTCAGCGTTCAAACGGTACGCTACCTCCAGGTGGACTGCCCGAATATTCAGGCATGTGAACAGGACAATCCACCTTTTTTCTGTTCTTCGAACGACAGTGACATCTATGGGACCAAAATAATCGACCCCAACGTAGCTGAACAGCTTAACAAACGGTACGAGTCGTTCGGCCGGCAGTGGAGCCATTCGAGGAATCTCCGGTCTGGTTTTGCGTACCTTACACCACTGACAATTCTTCATTACCTTGGCAACATATGCCCTTAGCTTCGGGATCGAAAAACGCTGTCGTATCTTGTTGAACACGGTTTCTTTGTTGCCGTGCCCAAAACGTTCATGATATGATTCGATAAGACGATAGGTGATGATGTGATTCCTTGGAAGTATGATGGGAAAACGAGTATCGAACGGTACGAATTCTGCTAATCTAGTCCGTCCTTCCATACGTAGAACTCCATACTCGTCGAGGAACGGACTTTGTTTATATAGCTGACTTGACTTCTCGATCCGCAGCCATTCTTCTGGCAGCAGTTCCTGATTCTTCTCCAATGTGGCCACTTCATCCTTGTAACACTCTCGTTGTGCCTGCTTCCAGATTACCTGCTCAGCAATCTCATATTCCTCTTGTTTAAGCGGGGCGTCGATGGAACAAACTGGGCGTTGTACGTATTTTGATAGTCCCGGAACAGTCAACGTTTCTATCGGCATTCGTTGCACCCTCCGGCGGCAGTTTGAAATGAACCGTATGACACAGCATACAGCCCGCACCAAAATATTCCATTTAGACACCCGGGTGACATCGACGAACGGTAAGTTCTCCACTATTGTATGGAACAGATGACAAACTCTCAGCTCTAGGTTGCTATTCGGTGGTGGACGATTATGTGCTGGCCAATCTTCTTCCGGATGTTGAAGGAACTCCGGGCC